CAGAAGATAAACATAAAAATTGGTCCTGGGCTGGTGATACCTCTGGGACACTTGGCAGATGCAAATGCAAAGTGCTCTGATCCCCTGTGACAGGAGTGGTGCATTTTTGAAGGACTTGACGGTTTATTTTACTTGTTTTTCTTTTTTATTTCAGCATATTATGTGGGTACAAATGCTTAGGTTACGTATATTGCCCTTGCCCCACCCGAGTCAGAGCTTCAAGCGTGTCCATCCCACAGACAGTGTGCACCACACTCATTATGTATGTATGTACCCATCCCGTCCTCCCCCCTCCCATCTGCCCGACGCCCAATAAATGTAGTTCCTATATGTGCACTTAGGTGTCGATCAGTTAAAACCAATTTGATGGTGAGTACATGTGGTGCTTGTTTTTCCATTCTTGGGATACTTCACTAAGTAGAATGGGCTCCAGCTCTCTCCAGGATAATACAAGAGGTGCTAGATCACCATTGTTTTTTTGGCTGAGTAGAACTCCATGGTATACATATACCACATTTTATTAATCCACTCATGTATTGATGGGCACTTGGGTTATTTCCACATCTTTGCAATTGTGAATTGTGCCGCTATAAACATTCTAGTGCAGATGTCTGTTTTATAGAATATCTTTTGTTCTTTTGGGTAGATGCCCAGTAATGGGATTGCTGGATCAAATGGTAGATCTACTTATATCTCTAAGGTGTGAAACTATAAGAATTCTAGAAGAAGGCCAGGCGTGGTGGCTCACACCTGTAATCCTAGCACTCTGGGAGGCCGAGGTGGGTGGATCGTTTGAGACCAGCCTGAGCAAGAGCAACACCCCATCTCTACTAAAAATACAAAGAAATTAGCTGGACAACTAAAAATATACAGAAAAACTTACCTGGGCATGGTGGCGTGTGCCTGTAGTCCCAGCTACTCGGGAGGCTGATGCAGGAGGATTTCTTGAGCCCAGGAGTTTGAGGTTGCTGTGAGCTATGATGATGCCACGGCACTCTAGCCTGGGCAACAGAGCGCGACTCTGTCTCAAAAAAAAAATAAATAAATAAAAGAATTCTAGAAGAAAACGTTGGACGTGACGGTTTATACAATTCTTTCACAAGGCAAAGAATGTGATGCCCATTTGACCGATGAGGAAGTGAAGCCTCAGCAAGGTTCTAGGATTACACATTGGGTATAAAGAAGAGCTGGGCCCAAACCCAAGCCCTCCCCGGCTGCAGCCCTGCCTCTAGGAGAGATAATGGCTCCTCAGGGCACCTCCTATGTCCCAAACATCCAGGAAATGGGCGAGCTGGCACTGCAGGCACTTGGGTCAGATACAAGTGCAGAACTGCCTGCTCTAAAATGAACACCTGTCACATCCTGCCACCAAGAGGCACCCGCCTCCCCTCCCACATCTCCACGCTGCCCATCTGAGTAGGGAGCCCGAGGAGAGGGATGTCGAATGGGGACTGAGGGCCCAGAGTCCTCAGGTTGACCAAATCCAAAGCTGTGTCCATGGAATGGGAGTCTTTTTTTAAATTTTTTTTTAATCCTGAAAGCCACTTGAACTTTGTCATTGCAATTAAGCTTATCTCTTCTTGTGTTTGCCCAGCCAGTAGGTGGAAGCTGTCATTACCCTCTCCTAATTTTACAGAAAACCATTCACCAGTATTAATTTTTGAAATGGCTACCTATCTCTATGGCCTCAAGATTCACCAATAAATAAATAAATAAATAAAACTGGACTAAAGGAAGCCACTGGGGGTTGCCTAAGAATGGCCACGTCTAGGATCCGGGGGCGAGAGGGAGCCTGGCCCCATGTCTGTCAGCTCGGGCTACCTGCCTCTCCTCCTGTCGAGCTGCCCATCTGCCAGGGGGAGCTGCCAGGTCTTCACTGGCCATCCCAGGCCCTAGACCAGCCTGCGTCAGTCGCATCCACAGTGCTATTCTGGGTCTGCCGGTGCTGCCTGGACAAGACAGGCAGGAAGCGCTACGCCAGTAGATTCTCCGAAACTAAGCTCTTGATGGGCGGATGGGGTGGGAGTGGTAATGACTCTATCCTGTTGTTTTCCTTGGTGATTATTTCATTGTTTTCAGGCTGCAAAGCTCCTAAGCTTCCCACGTAAGCAAGTTTTTGCTGATTAGCTCCCTGACAAATGTTGGAAGAGTTCTTGAGGTAGGTGGTAGGTGAGGTGGCGTGGGCAGGGCCTCAGATAGAGATTGGAATTTAGCCCTGGCTTCAACCATGGCATGGTCATTAGAAAGACATAGGCTAGCTATCAGCCCAGCCTTTGGGTGGCACATGGAATCCACTGGGATCTAGATCAAATGAGCTTGAATCCCTCCAAAGCCTTCCCTAAGATTTCTGGGGACCTGGGGACCCCTGGGGGAAAGGCCCCCATGGACACTCTGCTTCCTGGCACTGCTTCTAGGTGCACTTTCTTAGCTCCATCACACCCATCCAGAAATGAAAGCCAGCCCTTCACCATCTTCTACTGGCACATATGTTGATTCCGGTATTGTATTTCACTGAAGCTTTGAGTCGGTTAGGGAGAGAATTAAAGAAAGATGGATGGGGACTCACTCTGCAGCAAACGAGCAGCTTCAAAGGCAACACCAGCCTTCCTGGAGTCCTTGTTGCCTCACGGCCACTGGGGGTATCCCTGTGCCCCGTCACCCCACGCCCTCTGGCTGGTCCCTCTCCTCCCTGCCTGGTGCACCCTCTCCCTTCTCCTGCAGTCTAGAGGAGGGAGAGGAAGACACACACGGGCCTCTCCTTGTCTCCTGTGCAATGCAGCAGCCTTTCCCTTCGCCAGTCAGCTCTCGCTGACACACGGTCTGGGATCTCACACACTCCTCTCCCAGGCAGCTCATCTGGTCATTTGCACACACACACACACACACACACACACACACACACACACACACTTCTCTGAGAGGAATTCTCATGCCAGTTCTTAAAATGATGGGTTTTTCACTTCCTTCCATATACAAAAAATGAAAAATCAATATTCCACCTAGAGATCAGGGTTGAATGTGGGCTCCCTTAGTACAACAAGACATGTTGAAAGACCCATAATCCAGGCTCAGAACAAGGCGAGAGAGGGGACTGCGGGTGTCCCCATCATGCTCTCAGCCACTTTGCCCCTTCCCATCCTGGTGCTCGGGCAGATGTGGTGATATAAACAGCCATGAGTTCTCACACGTAACCTGCTCAGCTTCCTACAGGGACAGCCCAACACGTGGCCTGGGAAGCACTGTGTGTCCCGGACACTGTCAGAGGAGGGCCCCTCTGTGCTGCAGGGAAAGGGGAGCTGGTGCCAGGATCTGCACCACTGCGTGCTCAACGAGTGCTCTCTGCCCACGCCGCTCTGAGCATGGTGATCTCCCCATGGCAGGGTGCGCGCTAATGCCACTGGTCACAGATGGCAGAGAAGGGCCCTGGCATTGCACCTGTGGGTTCAGGTGAGAACATCTAAAGTGCTTTGCTGGATCGATATGTCCAAATGCTGGAGAGTGTGGAGGGTGTGTGGGGTCTGGAGACTGCAGAGCACACCCCTCCTGTGGGCTGGCACACCTGCATTGGTCCCGCACTTTCCATGCGTGTCTTCCCATGGTGTCGATGTCCCCTGGCACGAGCTCTCATCCACTCACATGCCCCTGGCCTCCTGCCCAACCAGACCCTGAGGGCTGCAAAGCTTCGAGAGAGAGTGGCTTGGGCGCAGGCACAGAGACGCAGACCCCCCGCAATGTGCTCACTTGGCCTGTGACTGGAACTACAACCTGGGGAGAAAGGAGGGACAAAAGTGGAGAGGTAGACCAGAGCCGGGTTTTCAGGGTTGGCAGCCCTGCTGAAAGTTTAGGCAATGGAATCATTTTCCAAGCCAAAAGTGAGAGCTCGTCACAGAAAAGTAGGGGTGTTGTTGGGGGTGGTCATCATGATGGTACATGAGACACTAGGGCTCTCCTGGCTACCCAGGACCTGTGGTCTCTGGAACTACAGGAACTGCCAGAAGCTCGCGCCCGGAGGAGGCCGGAGGACAAAGCCTGGAGGCTGCGAACAAGGAGGTTGACACCGAAGCACAGGCAGAGAAGGGAGACAAGCTGGTGGTTCTGGGTGCTTGCTGAGAGCTTCCTTGGAGGCCGGAAGCGGGGTGATATGCCTCCATTGCGCCACATCTCTCTGCGCTTCACCACAATTAGGCACATCCCAAGGCCTCTGGAAGTGCTGCTGGGCCATCTCCCCAAGGCCGGTGCCAGTCAGGGGCTCCCCGGGTATAACCTCAAATCCCCCGTCCTGCCCTTCTAGGCAGCGATGGGGTAAGCCAGCAGGTTCCAGTTTCCCTCTTCCCCCTCCCTCATCTCTGCCTAATAAATCTCAGTTTCCACACACTGCCCTTTAGATGTGCTGCTTTAACACTTTAAATCTGGACTTCGGGGGCCCGTAACCATCAGGAAGGAATTCTCAGAATACAAAATCACTCTGGGGGCTGATGACAACTCTAAAAATGAAGTTTGTGTGATGATAAGGATGGGAAGAAATCGTAAGGTTACGTAAAGAAGGTGAGGGTTTGAGTTCAAAGGAAGTCTTTGGTATTTTTCTGTGTGATTATATACACACTCACATGTACACACATATGTAGACACATGTGTATACATGTCTATGCAGATATATACACAAGCATGTACATATGTGCATATATGTGCATGTGCACACATTTTAGGCACACAACACAAAGGCACACATATACACACAAATACACAACATACAAACATGTGCACACATGTATAACATATATATGCACGCATGTGTGTGTGTGTGCATACACACACTTGCTTCGGGGAAGAGTGATGAGTCACCTTAAAGGTTGCAGGGCCAAGAGCTTTGTACTCGAATGGCATTCATTACTGTTTGCTGACTGAGGGCAAACCTCTGCCGTGCCCATCCTGTTCTTTATCGTTGACCATTGCTCTCAGGAGTTAATGTTTGAACCTGGTCATAAAGAAATTGACAGCTGCTGACCTCTGGTCCATATTCGAAGGGAAAGAAGCCCCCTATAAAACAGCCCACAGTGGCAAGTCTAACCTACAGAGCTGTGGGTCAGCTATAGAGAGGGAGACTTATCGCCACCATGAATTTCTCCGGCAAGTACCAACTGCAGAGCCAGGAAAACTTTGAACCCTTTATGAAGGCAATGGGTGAGTGCAAGGCTGGACGCCAGGGTTCTAGGTCCAGCCCCACCGGCAGTGGCTATTCAGGGTTTGGATGTTGAGAGGGGAGGAGAGGTTCAGGCTACACACAGACTGAGGTGCATTTTGTCGATTTTTGTGGTTACCCGCAGCTCATGCTATTACTCACTGGGCAAGGCCACCCCGCAGGCAAGTGGAAAGAGCATTGAACTTAGGTGTGATCTGCATTGGTGCCCATGTTGCTGGTACTTCACTGTGTGGTCCTGTCCCTTCAATCATGCCCTCATGCATGCATTCATTCCTCTGTCAAACATCGATCCTTGGATCCAACCGGCACTGAGCACTGTGCTAGGGGGATACCAGAGGAACAGATAATGATGAGCTATATTTTCAAGGTGGCAGTTTAAAGAGAGAAGGAGAGAAGAAATAAGGGAAATATATGCACTAAGGTGTGTAGTGCTGACGGTGCCAGGCACTGGGCTAAGCACTGGATATGCAATACCCCATTTAATCCTAACGAAGAGCTCTGAGCTGGGTAGTATTATTCTCCCACTTTACAGTGAGGCAACCGAGGCCGAGAGAGGTTAAGTAATCATGACCAAGGTCGTCCAGGCTGGAAGTGTTTGAGTTGGGATTGGAAGCAGGTGCTGGTTCCCAGAAAACTTGTTTTAACCCCTGTGCCTCCCAGGGTCACATAGAGGAGGGTGCGGCTCTTGGGAAGGGGAAGGCTCTTGGGAGGGGAAGGGGTCTTAGGCTGAGCCTTGGTAGATAAGCAGGTGTCTGCCAGGGAAGCAGGGGAGGGAAGCATGCTCCAGGTCCAGGGAGCCCTGTGAGCAGAGGGTGCAGTGTGACAAGGAAGGGTGCAGAGAGGGAGAAGGGTACAGGAGACAGCAGGGCCAGGGAGGGGAGGACTTTCAGGGCTGATATCTTCTTCTGCAGCCAAGTCACGCCACCTCTGTGTCTTGCACCCCTCCCTGCGCAACAAGACCCTCCACTCCCACTGTCAACCCACATGATTATTGTGAACTCAATTCATGCAACATGCACATATGCTCTGACATTTGTAAAGCCCTACCCCAGGGCAAGGGACTGCTAGTCTGTCTCCCTCCAGAGCCTGCACTGCACAGGTGAACACAGGTTTGCCTGGCACAGTCCTGCTGTGTGCATGTTGTCCTGGCATAATTATGCATAGCTCCCCCGTCACTTTCAGGAGTGACC